CCGGCCCTCCAAAAAGGCCTGGTGCCACCGAAACACACCACTTCTTGCTAAAGCAACACCTGGGTAAGCCTGCTTGATCATATCAAACGTCTCTGCCGCAGATTTACCGAGTTTCACACAGAATTTAATCGCGTACCTCTGCTCTAACGAACGCTGCATTTTCGGCTTGCACCACTCACAGAAACATGTCGCGCGAAAATGCCTGACCTGACTCTCCTAGTGCTCGGAGACAACTGACCAGCCGCTCATTCGTTAGCTAGCAACACCCTCTACCGAATCCAGTCGGTGCGCGCACGCTCCGAAGTACAGTCATGGCGGAAGAAAATGAGTCCTATTACTTTCCGGACAAACCCTGTATTAATAAGGTAACAGCGCGTAAAGGTATTCATACGTACTTCGTGATAATATATCTTACATGACGTGACTAAAAAATCCTCTGTTATTAGATTATTTTCAACAAAAATGCACTATGACAACTAGTCGGACGACTCTGAAGCCACAACAATTAGGGACCTAGGTTGGCCGGATGGGTCAGAGAGTCGTGCTACTACCGATCAGCCGAAGCCATGGATGTTGTGGCATCATATGTTAGAATAATACACATGTATAGAAACCTAGTGACTGGCTGGATGAACTCCTAGTTCTAATGCCAAAAAAAGCCGCAACAATTGACAACGTCGCATACGTAGTTATAGTACTCGTATAATAGGCGAATAATTAATAATTCGAATCTGTCATTGTGAGTTTTCCTGTTGTCGAAGTAACTTATTGTAATTTTTATCTGCAGTGTTTTTTATGCGTGTTTGTGAAATTCATAATCGTGAGGCACTAGTACATCTTGTCTTTTTCACGAGTATCCATTACGGTAGAATAACAGCTAATTATCAGTAATATTCAAAATTCCCCGTATCGACAAATGACATAATTGAGACGGATCCGTCAACGCCAGGTAGGCAGAGCCGTATTTTGTTTTGGTTTTTGTACGCTACAGATTGTACTTAGTAACTACTTTTTATTTCTGAACGTTCATTTGAATACAAAAAAAAACGCAACCAGCGAGTTTCACTAAATTTAAACCAGATTTATTATTTCCAACATTACAGACTGATACAAAGATATTACTTGCTGATCAGCTGTACACCTCCGCAAACGTCAAACGGGATGGATACTCGTCAAATAGCGTTAATGTAAAATTATAGCCCTCAAGGCTAAACTTGTGTCGTTTCATAGGTAAGTACCAATGGGTTGTGTTTATGTTTTAGTTTCAGTTACCAGCCGCGTGGTTGTTATTCCCTAACCCCGAGTTGGATGTTTTAATGCATGTTATTTTTTATTATTTTTAATATTGTCAGCATACATACCCCTTTTTAGTTATATCCAAGTTATGGGTATATTATTTTTGATCTTTACTCAAATTAATCGAAACTTCATATTTTCTATGCAATGCATACTTTTTGTGCTACAATTGTTTCTCTTCGTGCCTCTTGGTATTTTGATACTGTGCATATCGATACTATACATCAAACCGAGCCCCTGCGGAAGTAGCAAGATAATTTATTTTTTAATAATCTCAGTATCTTGAATTTGAGCTATTTGATTAGTAGTGCTTGTAACGTTGACGTTTTTCCGCCGAGAATCTTATTCAAATGAGAGCTGCCTAATCTGAAATATACAATTGAATGGAAATAAACTATTTTTTTCATTAGTAACTCATGAAATCACAATTAAGCGCGCGTACGGACCGAAAATCCAACGCCGAGCAAACGAATGCAAGCACATGTGACGTTGGCGTTTGTTGTTGGAAGGTATTTTAATGCGCTCGTCTAGACCTAAATTTAGTTTCGAGTTGGACCACATCGGGTTAAGTTCGCTGCTAATGTCGAGCGACGAGGACGATTTACTGCTGGCGAGTGAGGGGTACTTAATAATACATTCTGTAATATCCAAGAAAAAGAAGAAACGGTTTAGACGTTGGTGGGTAACACCATCTTCTTTGACAATTCAAAATGCTTACTAGTAGG